GTTCACCACATCTACAACTAGGAAGTTCACCACATCTACAACTAGGAAGTTCACCACATCTACAACTAGGAAGTGCACCACATCTACAACTAGGAAGTTTACTACATCTATAGCTAGGAAGTTCGCCACATTTACAACTAGGAAGTTCACCACATCTACAACTAAAAAGTTCACCACATCCACAACTAGGAAACTCACCACATCCAAGCTGGAAGCATTTCAACGCTGCCTTAGTGGTTTCACAAGAATCTGTACCAGTTATGTTTCTTTTATAATACCAAATGAAATTATCTTATTAGAGCAAGCACGCGTAGTACACCAAAAATACTTAAATGGATCTTAAAATAAAATAAAATTCAAAATATGCAAATATGTATATAGTGAACCTTAAGAATAACTAAACATTTACGACAGCTCTATAAGTGAAAAATGAACGTTGTCAAAAACTGTGCATGGTTGTAATTCGTTATATATTTTCATGTTAACAAAGGACGTTCGACCTGTTCTATTAAAATGAAATCAAGTATACAGTCATACATGTTACAGTTCAACATTTTTCTTAAAAGAAATAGCCGATTATTGATTATAGAAGACACAGCATTTAGATATTTGTCGTGACCGAAAAAAGACTTTTAATTGGAGAATATCCTACCTAACAATTAGATTAATTAATGTATTCTAATTCTAAATATTCTGAATGAAGAATATCCTACCTAACAATTAAATTAATTAATGTATTCTAATTCTAAATATTCTGAATGAAGAATATCCTACCTAACAATTATGTTGAAATAAAAATCATTTTCGCACCCAAGATCAAAGTTGTAAGAGTTGAATCATTCAGAACATTTAGAATTAGAATACATTAATTAATTTAATTGTTAGGTAGGATATTCTCCATTCAGAAAATTTAGAATTAGAATACATTAATTAATTTAATTGTTAGGTAGGATATTCTCCATTCAGAAAATTTAGAATTAGAATACATTAATTAATTTAATTGTTAGGTAGGATATTCTCTATTCAGAACATTTAGAATCAGAATACATTAATTAATTTAATTGTTAGGTAGGATATTCTCCATTCAGAAAATTTAGAATTAGAATACATTAATTAATTTGCATTTCTGTTAAACAGAGCTTGCTTCAACTATTTAATTTACTTTTCTCTTCAGTGTATATCTGTTTCTTTCGCTTACAGTTTTATGTACGTAATCCCACGGTTCTTAGTTTCAATTCGTACACTTGTTTCATATACGTGCTTTCCTTGTTAACTAAGCTTTCTTGCTCTTTTTCCTTTAAAGTATTCCTCTCTTTGATCTCACCTAAGATTCTAGTTTGTTCTTTCTAGATTTCCTTTTTTCCTACCAATTTTTTCAAACTTGAATTAAAATTTGACTTTGTGTTATCGAGTCTTACTTTGTTTCAAGTATTTCTAAAAGCTTTATTATATCTTTTCTTTTTTTTCACATTTCATTAAGTCTTCAATTACTTTTACTTTAACAGTTTATGAAAATAAGCGTCATTCACCAAACTTATTTTTAAACTCTATGTGGTGATAATTGGCTAAGAAATATGAATTACGCATCACGATTGATAACATTAAATATTCTCATATATCTATATATATATACATGTATATTATGCTATTATATATTAATCAGCAGTGACTAAGTACATCACATACGCATCATATAACAATTTCCTCAAAATCTTATTTTAGATTAGTAATTAAATTCTTAGTGCAATGAAATCCGACAGCGAGTTAACTAACAGAAAATACAAAATGGACCTAAATGTATACTTATTGCTTGAAGTTATTACGACGATACTGACGTGTAATTTTTTTGTTAGGCGGTTTAAATTATTTGTCACAGTCACAGTGGCACAGCGGGCTCACAACGCTAGAAACAGATATACACTGAAGAGAAAAGTAAATTAAATAGTTGAAGCAAGCTCTGTCTAACAGAAATGCCCCACAGTGACACAGCGGTATGTCTGCGGGCTCACAACGCTAGAAACAGATATACACTGAAGGGTAAATTAAATAGTTGAAGCAAGCTCTGTCTAACAGAAATGCCCCACAGTCTGCGGGCTCACAACGCTAGAAACAGATACACACTGAAGAGAAAAGTAAATTAATAGTTGAAGCAAGCTCTGTTTAACAGAAATGCCCCACAGTGGCATAGCGGTATGTCTGCGGGCTCACAACGCTAGAAACAGAGTTTCGATACTCGTGGTGTTCAGAGTACAGATAGCCTATTGTGCAGCTTTGTGATTACTTTGAAACAAAAACAAACAAACTAACAGAAATAGGAAAAAAAATACTTAAAAATTTATAAATGTAAGTAAACAACCGTGAAGGACCTTAAAGCCAAAGTGAAAAGAGAAGTTAAAAGGAAGAAGAGTAATGCGTAAAAAGGGAGATGAAAGAGAGAGAGAATAAAAAAAAGTAAAATATTTTATTCGTGTAAAAAATAACGTGTAATATCTAAGGGCGAGAAATAAAATGCAAATTACAATGATCATAGGATAAGAGGGGTTAAATAGTTTATTTTTAAAAATAAGTAGTCTGTTTGTTTGTTTTGAATTTCGTACAAAGCTACACGAGGGCTATCTGCGCTAGCCTTCCCTAATTTAGCAGTGTAAGATTAGAGGAAAGGCAGCTAGTCATCACCACTCACCGCCAACTCTTGGGCTACACTTTTACCAACGAATAGTGGGATTGACCGTCACATTATAACGTCCCC